TGCCCTCGTACCATGCAGAGAGGTGGTACTTGCCCGCAAGGATGATGAACGGCGGGATTGCCCACCCACAAGCGTTGATGGCCTTGATTACAGTAGCCCACTCGCGATCGCCTGGTTGTATAGCTTTTGGTTGATTTCGTCTTTCAGAGCCTGTAACAACTACTCCTGTTGAAATAACACCCATCTGGAAGCCGGTTTCATCAAAGTTGTAGGAGTCGTCATCTGTGATACCGTACTTCGCCTTTGTATTACGCACAAGCTCAAACCACAGCGCAATAATCCTTGGATCTTCGCATAGAGCTCTCTGGCAGTCGTACTTTCGATTAAACCGTGTTTGAAGCTCATCAGTCCGCTTGACAAAGTTATATGGCCAATTCTTGCCAACCTGGCCGGCACCGCGCTCATCTAGCAGCTTATTAGCCATATCTTGTACAGCGCTTAACCGCGGTGCAAATCCTCTTGAATCCAAGTCAATTATATGTTGAATAATAACTGATTCCTCTAGCTTTGTAAGCTTCTTTGAATTGGGCTCGCAATCGCGTCGGGAGGTTGTTCCGGCGCGTCGTCGTTGAAGCGTGCTTCTAGGGACTTCGAAGGTTGTTGCAGCTTGTCGCTCGCTTTGAATTTGGTTCTTATTGATTGCTGAGATAGCTAGGCATATTAGGCCTTCGCTTTGGACTAGTTGCGCGTTGTGTTGTTGAGGCATGATAGTTGAAAGTCAACAGAGCGCGTTTTGGTGATGGGGTGGCCCGCTCGCTTGGGTGGCCCGCTCGCTTGTGGAGTACGTTATGCTAAAACAAAGTATATTAATATACAATATCATTTTGTAAGAGAAAATATACAAAATAGGTTAATAAAGCTGGCCTACCTTAATACTAACGAACAAATAGCCAATATATTTATAAAACCTCTAGTAGGATCTAGTTTTACAAAAATTGTTGAATATATAAAACTAGACTCTGAAGTTGGTGAATAGATAAATACATAGATAGATAAAAGAGAAAAAATCTATCTATCTATCTATCTATCTATCTATCTGTTAATCTAACAGAAAATAGAATATATTGCTTATAGGGGTGTGTTAGAATATAGTAAGCGCTATATTTCTAAGCTTCTAGAACTATCTAGAATTAGATGGAACCAGATGGAATCTTATAGAAGATTCTCTTATAAATCAAACTGTATTTGTAATATATAGAAGTATCTAGAATATGCTAGTATAAGCATTACAAACTATGCTTTTAACAAATATAGAGAAACTTCTAGTACTTATATATTTGAGTATATAGAGGCCCAACCTCTATAAGATAGAAGGATATCTAATTCAATTAATTCAACTTCTATCCTGCTACCGCTCTATCTGTTAATCCTTCCTATACAACCTTTACAGTTAGAATATAATAAGCGCTATATTTCTAAGCTTCCAGAACTATCTAGAACTAGATAGAATCTTATAGAAAGACTCTCTTATAAATTAACTGTATTTGTAATATATAGAAGTATCTAGAATATGCTAGTATAAGCATTATAAACTATGCTTTTAACAAGTATAGAAAAACTTCTAGTACTTATATATTTAAGTATAGGGGCTACTAATCGCAAACCCCCTTACCCCCCTGTCGCTTCACCACCTTCTAATTGGCTCGGAGGGCAGCTCCGGAGCCTCCGATTCGCTCGCTAATTCCAAGTGCTCTCTCCAAATGCAGCGTGTATATAAGCAATTACATCCTCATCCTCCACCTCTACAATA